TGTGTGTTCTGTTTTTCTTGTTCTGTTCCCTGGCTGACCCTGGAGATTTCCTATTTAAACTTACTGAACGTGTGATCCCCTTCGTAATTAAATTCATAAAAATCTGATCAAGCAAGCCTCTCTGTCTCCCCCTGTGTTTTTAAACGCGTAGGCCCCCCCTGCAGGGGACAGCGCAGATGCTGGCTTCCCAGCCGGGTGGCTGTGGTGTACGCTTTAATTACCGGCTCTGGCTGAAGTCTCCCGTGGCCCTGGCTTTATTTATTTATTTATATATATCTTGATGAGGATTCTGAATCCTTGATTAAAGCCACAATCATTGCTGATTCAGTAAGGAGGGGCAGTTGGATGTGAAACGGGGCGGTATGTGAAGCGTCTGTACATGTCCAGAAATGGAGGCACAGGCACTGACTGACCTCACCCAGCTAAGGGGGACCAGGGTCTGGGTGGGCATGCCCTCCCCTTGGGTCGGATGGGGCGGGCGGCTGGCGACAGGCAGGTGCTGAGAACCGCCCAGGTCTGCATGGGAGGGCCTCAGTGGACCTGCTCGCTCGGGCGTGCCCCATAGGCCGGCTGTGCTCCCTAAGCTTTTCCAATCCGGCTCCTCCGTGAAGTTGCTCCCCCTCCCACCCCCATCTCCCTCTGTGCCCTGGGGGCTTCTTGCAAATCTTTCACCCATGAGAGAGCCCGCCAGTGGGCAGACCGCAGCATCCACTCCCCATAGAGCCTTAAAAAACCCTTCAGAGCCATCAGAACAGATGAGAATTTATGTGGGTACAGGGGGCCTGCATTCAAGAGGGGGGAGCTTGGGGTAGCGGCCTGAGGAGGGGAGAGAGAGAAGAGAGTAAAATATAATTTTAAAGAGGAAGTGAAGGCACAGGCATGCGAGTCTATAACGAGAGGGACAATTTATGCCCAGGCACGCACGCAGTTTGACATGGGGATAATGAAAAAACGTAGGTCATTGTGGATGACTTAAACCTTCAGCAGCTGAAGAAAATGTATGAAATGCAGAGGACATTACACGGTTGGCAGCCCCGCACATCTGCAGGGGGACAAGTGAAATACAGTGGGCCATCCTTTACCATAAACTGTGGTTGTTGGAGATGCAGCCCAGAGAAATTGTAATTACAGTGACAAGACGAATCAGCGATATTTAAATATTCATGAACAAAGTCTGGGGTGATCAATCTATCTTTATTGTCTGTGCCTTCGCTCCTGTAATAAATAAGTAGCTAAAGTCTTCACCTTGCAGCCCCAAAGCCCCCACTTCGGGTACAAAACGAAAAATCGTTAACCCCCACAACCCCATCCAACCTCTCACCTTCCGGGGGACACTGGGATGCACAGAAAGGAGGCTGACGGGCGTGGATTCCAGGCGAGGAGAAGCAGTTCTCCCCGAGGTTCGTGCGCCCAGCATTTCCCAGGGCCCCTCTGGGCCGTCCTCAGAGATGCACTGAGGCCACAGGGTGAATGGAGCTCCCCTTTGGCTTGATTCGCTTCCATTTAGAAGTCTGGTGAGCGTGACGGTGGAGTCAGTACAGCCTGTCACTTAGCCATCGGAGACGGTCCCACGTCCAACTGGAACAGACCAGAATCTGACTCCTGACTCCGCTACTTACTAGCTCTTGGACCTTGGGGACCATGGTTAAGCATCTCTAAGCATCTCGGTTTTCTCATCTGTAAAATGAGAATAATAGTAATACCTTTCTCGTAATGTTCTTGCAGGGATTACGTGATATGAGCCATGTGAAGTTTCTCATGTGGTAGTGAGCGCTCAAAAATTTGGGCCATTCTCATCAGAAAGTGTCATAAAAATTATGCCACTGCTGCTAAAAGAACAAAATGCGGGACTTTTTTCCTCTTTGGGGACAGAGAAGAAACTGAAACCTCGTTTTGCCTGGGGGGCTTGGTGGGGACCAAAGAGAAGTTTCCAAGCAGGTTATTTTTGAGCTGGGCTTTGCAGGATGACTAGGAGTTTGCCAGGGAGAGAAGAGAAAATCAAGTGGAGAGAACAGTCATGTGAAACTGTAGAGGAGGGAAGGGGCAGAAGGCATTTTGGAATAATGTTCTCATTGTTCCCAAATTGGAGGGATTTCTTAAGGGCAGGTCCTCTGGCTGGAGTGGCTTTGCCCCTGACCGAGAGGAAAGGAAGGGAAGGTAGCGTGAGAAGCTGAACAGCCAGGTCTCAGAGCCCCAAGCCTGCTCTAGCCTCGTGGGGCCTGCTCTCTGGGGACTGCTGTTTATCTCAAGCAAATGGGCTCTCTTTATCCCTGGGACTGGCCCTTGGCCCGTGGGTGACCATTGGGCCACAGTAAGGCACAGACACGTGGGAACAGGGCTCCCTGTTTATGTCCTGGGGGCCAGCAGAGGTGGGGGTCTGACCTTTAATGGTGTTTGCAGGTGGTGAAGGAAGGCACTCATCCTCCTGCTGTCCCCTGAAGTGGGGGCCGGGATAGGCAAAGCCCTGAACCAGCCCTTGTCCCCACAGGCGACCACCCGTACGAGTGTGAGTTCTGTGGCAGCTGCTTCCGGGATGAGAGCACACTCAAAAGCCACAAGCGCATCCACACGGGCGAGAAGCCCTATGAGTGCAACGGCTGCGGCAAGAAGTTCAGCCTCAAGCACCAGCTGGAGACGCACTACAGGGTGCACACAGGTACCGAGGGCCAGAGCGGCACGGAGCGGCTCTGGAACCTGAGCGGGGTGGCGGGCAGGTGGCTCCCAGAGGCGTCAGGGCTGAAGGAAAGAGTCGGGCAGGTTCTGCTAAGGGTTGTGTGCTGACCTGCGTGCCACTGCCCCTTGCAAGACTGAGGCAGGCATTGCTACTCAACCGCAGCCCTTCCCGGGAGCCCAGACCAGCCCTGCGGGCAGCCCCAACCAATGGGTCCCAGATCACGCAGGATGGCGTCCGTCTGTGAATCCCGGATTAGGTTTCCCAAGTAGCTGAGAGTGAAGGTTGGGATGGTTTTTTACTTGGCAGAGTAGGAATTAGAGGGCATTGGGTTAGCTTACGGTGCGGGTTGAGAAGTCATCAGTTAGAGTTAGGTTCTGAGCTTGGAGGAGCAGATATATTTAAAACGCCCAAGTGGAGAATGTCTTGCCATTTCAAAGGGACTTCATGCTCCTTTTCACATAATAGAAACATGAGCTACACTTTTCCCTGGGGTTCCCGGCAGACCAGCAGACGCGTCCCGGTGCCCAGGACTGCCAGCTGGGGGCGGGGGGTGCTGGGGCACATCCCCTCCCAACTGCAAGGTCAGTGGCCTCACCTTGGTGGCTTAGCATTGGCCGTGGTGGGAGTAGTCACAGTGCGGCCATGGCAAATGCTACAGCCCAGGCTTGCACGGAACCGGTTGTGGCAGGTTCTGTCACCAGCCCACCACTGGTTGGGGAAAGGTAGCCACTCAGAAGGGCTTCCTCTGAGAATAAGACGCAGTGGAAGGTCGTCTCGCCACCTGGGGAGCCTCCTGTGACGAGGGGAGGTAGCTGCCCTTTTCAGAGGAGGGGAGAGGTGACCTCTGTGGGTGGGGAGGGTGGGCAGAGGGGACAGGAAGCAGAGGACTCGGTTGTCATCGCTCTGCTTCTTGCGTTGGCCACAGGTGAGGATGGGGTGCTCGTTGCTGGCCACCAGAGTGACCCAGAGATTCCCCAGAGGCCTGGGCCTCCTTAGCCCTTGTCGGGGATGTGGCCTGGCAGGTGGATCATTAAACGCATTGGCAGTGACTATTGTAAATAGCAGGTCGATAGTTAGATCACTTTGGCTGTTCATTACTTCATTATTTGCTGGGCCCTCTGCATGGAGGAGTATCGATAGCGAGATGGCTGGCCAGTTAATTACTGTATCGAAACGAGGTTCCCTCACTCCTCGGCTCAGCTCCAGGGGACTCCCAACAGGAGGCCGGGCACCAGCTAGCGTGGGGCCAGGCCGCCAGCTGTTCTGTCCCCCATTCCAGCCCCAGAGGGAAGGCGGGGGCCGGCACAGGTTCTGAGAGCCCGTGATGATACGCAAGCCCAGATGCAGATGTTTGAAGGGTGAGGTCCCTCATCTCGCGGCACCCCTACTCCCCACCATCTGTAGCCCCGCCCCCCCCGGAAGGAACTGCTGAAGGGCCATCCCCAAGGAGGTTTCGGGCCCCCCTGCCCCTGTTCCAGACCCCCAGGCCCCTCCTTTGGGAGAATGAAGAAGAGGAAGGCCAGGGACTAGGGCTGTGCTGCCTACTGCCACCGCGGGCTGCATGCGGCTGTTCAATCAGTGACAGGAAATACCTTGAAGACTAGTGCCCAGTCACACTGGCATATTTCAACCGCTCAGCTGCCATGTGTGACTAGGACCACCATCCCAGGTGCATCCACGGTGCTGGAAGTGTGACCGGGGTGGGCGAGGGCCCGCGCCCTAGGGGAGGCCCTCACAGCGCTCCCTCCTCCCGCAGGTGAGAAGCCCTTCGAGTGCAAGCTGTGCCACCAGCGCTCCCGGGACTACTCGGCCATGATCAAGCACCTGCGGACGCACAACGGCGCCTCCCCCTACCAGTGCACCATCTGCACCGAGTACTGCCCCAGCCTGTCCTCCATGCAGAAGCACATGAAGGGCCACAAGCCCGAGGAGATCCCGCCCGACTGGCGGATAGAGAAGACGTACCTGTACCTGTGCTACGTGTGAAGCCGGCCGGGCGGGCCAGAGGAGCGGGAGCGAGAGGAGGAGTTAGAGCAGGATGAAGTCGAGGAAGGATTGTGCAGAAAATACATGTCTATACAGAAGGGGAAAAAAGGAAGAAAGAGGAAACCTGGTAGCTCTCTGGCCTAGAGTCTCTCTGGGGCTCCAGGTGACCAGGATGCCCCGCCTGGCCCCTTCCCGGGCCTCCATCCCTCCTCTCCTGGCTGGATTTCTGGGGTGGGGGTGGAAGGGGTTTTGTTCTGCTCAGACCCTCATTTATGTCCAGAAATGGAGTCTGAGAAGAAGGCGAGGGGTGTTCTGGTCAGAGCCAGTCTCTGCCTGCCATCCTCAGCCTCCTCAGAAGATAGAGGCTCCGGGGGGTCACGGGCTGGGGGGCCTGCAGATGGTGGGGCTGGACTGGGTCGCTGGCTGACACTCAGAGTGGCAGCTGGTTTGCTGGGGGCAGATGGGCTTGGGGAAGGGCGCCTCTTCCCCTCCCATCACTCATTTCACCTGTTGCTTCCCTCTGCTCTGCGGATCTGCATGTCCCTCCTGGTCTCCAGGAGCCTCCAGGCTCTGGCCCCTCCCCCAGCTCCTGGTCCCCACCTCCCCTTGCCTCCTGTCCACCAGTTCAGGGAGTGCCCAGCCCCCGCCCCCCGCAGCTCCTCAGTGGGGAATCTGTGTCCGACCCCAGAGCCCCACTCCCACCCTTAGCCTCTGAGAACAAAAGCCAATGGAAGACCCACCCTCAGAAAGCCCTGTCCTGAGTGAGACTTGCTTCCCAGTTGGAAAAACAGCTAAATACATACAAATACATGGGTCCCACCAACACCGGACAAGGCTCCCTGCCACCCCGGGTCCCGTCCCTGCGAGAAGGAGTCTGTGAAAGGGCTGCTGTCCACGGGGAGGACGCGGACGTCCTCCAGGGGTGCCCTCCCCCGGAGAAGGGGGCACCTGCCAGCAGTCGGGGTACTGGCCAAGGGGGTGCTGTTGAGTCATTCTGGGGACCTTTTAAACACCCCAGACACGGTGAGCGCAGTGGGAAACCCAGGTCCAGAGAA